TACAAAGAGAATGCCCACATAAACATGTGTCTTCAATCAAGTCTTAGTTTCTTTAGCAGTTGCTGGAACCTGTAATAAGATATAAAAATACCAAGTAGAGAGCTGTCACAGCTTTTTAATCTCTGATTTTGAACTATTCTTAAAGAAAATCTTCAAAAGGAAATGCAAGCATAGCTATAGATTAGTGGTAGGCAAGCACTGAGGCTGAGAATCTGCGGGGGTGGGAGAGAGGGTCAGGCAAAGGAGAGATTGTCTACAGAAATCCCTTTTCTCTACCCCCTCCCCCCAAGCAGAGAGATTGGAGACAAAGGGATTTCAAGAGAGTAAGCTGTTTGTGTAAGAGGCCGCAGATCCCAGCTCCTGGCTGCCAGCATGACCGCATGGCTTTCTTACTTGAGCATTCCAAAGGACAAGGGAGTGGTTAGGAGGCAAACAAAAGCTGAAGGTGAGGAACTGAGTAGTCTTGTCTCTTTCCAGCCAGAAAGCACAGTCGTGGTCACATGATTTCCCACTTAGCAACCACTTCATTTAGCGGCAGAGTTGCCGGTTCCAATTAGGGTTGTTAAACGAGGACTTCCTGTAATTGGGTAGACTTTCCTATAACTGTTGTGTTTTGCTTTCCAGCTTTGTTCAGCTGTTTTCAAGATATAATATCAGCAGACTATTTATTTTTTGCATTTCAGGCTATTTAATCTTTATCTTTTATCTTTAAACTTTATCTTTAATCTTATCATCTTTAATGATATCATTACTATAATCTTCAGAAGTTCTACAAAAGAAAAAAAACATGCTGCCCAGGTTGTCAGCATGATGTCTATCTTATGACAATGGGAACAGGGAGGCTAAAATTCATGCCCATCCTCAAAGATGGATGTTCAATAGATGAATCTGAACTTCTCACAGCCCATAAGGTGATTGCTGTGGCTATTTATTTATTTGTGTTAGAGGAGGAAGTGCAGTATACCATCCTGAGCTCCTGAAAGTAAGCCGGGATATAAATCTAATGAATTAATAATTAAAGCCAAAAGATTCTCTCTTCATCCTTATTATGCTCCTGAAACTCTGTCCTTTATACAGCCAGCTTGGGAATCTCTGAACAACACAGCATGTTTCTATGTTACCAGAAAAGTTCAGATGTGCTGGTTTCATGGGTGCCTGGTTGCGAGGAGGGGAAATTTACAGTGCTTTGGAAATATAACATCCAAGAGGTTAGGGAGATATTTCTACGCAAGGGAGCCATAGGAGAGCTTTTTCCATGAACTGGAACGTCTGATATTTCTCTGACAGTACAAGAATGAGCAGTCTCTGCCAACTACCACACAAACCCAAAACATAAGAGAAACATTTGCAAACTCCCTCCCTGCTCCATCTCCTGTGTGATCAGTGCTTCATGGTACAATAAAAATGACCATCTGCCCACAAGGCCTAATGGAGATATATTGGCAGGTGGGCCAAACATGTTTCCTTGCGTTGTTATTTGAAGTTCATACCTGTCCGATCTTCTCAGCTGCTATATATTTTAATGATCACACAAAGAGTAGCTGCCAGAACCAAAGATCTCTGACATACAAGGAAGGGCCAATTTAAATACACAAAGCTGGCTGCGTGGGAAGTCACATACAATAGTAACGTTATCCTATTCTGCATGTTATTTTTTAAATGAGGCCCAAAATTTTGCCAAATGATTGATCCCATGTTAAAAATGCACTGCCATGCTAGAGGTGAGATGGTATTTCCAGAAAAGAGGAAATTAAAGATCCCCTTGCCTGTTTCATTCTGGAAGGAATGAATCATTAGGCAAATCAGTGTTCTTACTCCATCAGCTCTTGATTATAGTTAATACTCAACAATATTTTGATAAGTTTCCAAGATCCTCTTCCATAAGCAAAGAGATTTCTTATTTTTCTGAATAGTGTTTATATCAAGCTTTTCCTTGTTCTAAAGCAATTATGAAAGAGAGAACACTCAGCCACATGGTATCAATTTAACTTACCCCAATCCTTAAATTTAACCATTCATTGAGTGCTCCTGCCCCTATTTTCTGAATTGGCATTTTGTCTTTCATAAACACTCATTCTTTTGTATTTTATTATTTTATAATAATGTATGTAATTATTATAAAATTACAATTTTATTACTGTATTTTATCTGTATTTCCAAATAAAACTGATCTTCTTCCACTCTCTAACCTAACAATATTATGAATAAAGATGAGGATGTACACTGGCCCAAGATCAGTTGATCTTCGTAATTGCCTGGATATTTGACCCAAGTTTCTCCAAGTCGTGCTACATTTCCATTAAGCAGAGCTACCATTAGGCAGTAAACATGCATCAGATAATATGACCTATGACCAGCCACCATCTTCTAGTCCCTCTTTCTGACCAGCAAGCACATCCTAGTTTGTTTTTGCAAAACAAAAAGAGTCACACAATAAACCTCTTGGATCTTAGAAGCACTGTGCATGGAATAGTGAAGTCTGAGTCTCTCCTCACCCTTTTGTATGTTAAATTCACCATTTGTGGGGTGAGGAAGAGAATGAGGAACAAAGCCAGTTATGAAAGTAGATGTAGGACAGACTTCAAACTGCGATCAATTCTGTAACTACAGAGCGAAGGGGAGATTTGGCCAGCTGACCCATCCAAGTATGGGTCACAGACTGTACCACAATTAAAGTTAACTCAAATTAAGCCATAGTTTGAAAGAAAATTTACCAGGAATAGTTGGAAGCACTGGGTATGTTTAGCCAAGAAAGGGAAGACTACAGGGAGACATGAAAGCTGTTTTCAGGTATCTGAAGGGCTGTCATGTAAAAAATGGGGCAGAATTGTTTGGAGTCATTCCAGAAGTCAGGGCAACAATGGGTTTCAATTTTAAGGAAGATTATTTTGATTGGACATCAAGAGTTTCCTAACCTCAAGAGCTGCTTAACAAAGACTGCCTTGGGCGGTAGTGGGCTTTTCTTTATTGTAGGTATTTAAAGATTGGCTGAATCTTACAATGATGTTGTAGCAGTGGATTCCTCCGCTGGGCAGCAGTTCACTAGATGTTCCTAAGATCCCTTCCAACTCTTAAATTGTATGATCAATTATTCTAGAGATCCTGACCACATGGAAGGAACCAATTTTTATTAAAGGACACACACGAAAGCATATTTTTCAAAAAACAAAATAAAAGGGTACTAATTAAAGGGACAGCTGCAGGAAGAAGTGTTTTCTGCTAACCATTATTTATTCTCAACACATGGTTGCTTATTGCCTATAGTACAGACACTGCCATATTTTAATACGGAACAGAACTACCCATTTGGTTGATTCCAGTTAGAAAAAGATAATGCATTTGCAGAGTAGTCCAAAAGCCAAGCACAATATGAGTACTTTCATAATTTGTAGAATTGATTTAGCAACAGTAATAGTTGACTTGGATTGACACTGGTGTCTTTTAAGGCTAACGTGTTTTCTCTGTACAGAAAGGGATTTTCTATATATTATTAATAGCACCCAAGATGACTTGAAAAGTACTTTCATCAGCCTCAGGCATATATAAAAGATATTTCCCAACAACTTCTCAAATTAAGATTGAATGTAATCAGTTTCGTAAAATCACTCCCAGACTTGGATCCTTTTTACTTGGCATTAAGGTTTAGACTGCACCCTATAAAGAATTTAAGCTGGAGCGAAATGGTCAGTTTAGGAACATGATGAAGATTGTAATGCTTTAAAGAACAAACTATAATTAATTTCATAAAAAATTAAAGAAAGAAAAAGAGGGAAAGTCTTGAAGTATTTAGAAAAGAAATTTCAAAAGCATTTTTCTTTGATTATTAGGGTCAGATCAACCTTGATGAAATAAATGCGGAGTATTCTCATTAGTTTTCGCAGACATTTACTAAGCCGGCTTATTTTTCTTCCAAGTTGTAGAATCCCATACCTTTCCAACCAGATATTGTACGTACATGACCTCTATCGGTACATAATAATTATTACATCTAAAAGAGGAGGCAGCAGTAAAAGAAGAAACTTCATTATACATTCACATGAGTAGGCATGTTGCTCAGACATTATCTGGTCTGCTAGAGCAAAATTGGGAAATACTCATTTTTCTATTATGTTAAAATGTATACCTCTCTGGTAAATATTTCAACCAACTGTAGCTCTTGCTAAACTCAGTTAATGCAACACTTTACAGTATAAAGTGCTGTATAAATCACCCTTTTATGAACACTGAAAACTTAAGAAAATTTTACATTTTTAAGGACATTTTTTACACATGCTCGTTTCATGATCAAATTAGAAAACCCTGATATAGGGTGTTGCCTATGTAAATGGATTCTATAAGCCAGCACTAATGCATATTAACTAAGATAACTAAGATAAGGCGATGTAATGGTTAGGTACAAATGTTATCCTGTGGATTAGAATTCTCACGCATTTCTTCCAAGCAAGAAATGAAAAGGTATGCATTTAATCTCAACTAGATTAACCTGACTTTTCAACCCACTTCAGTACTTAAACACTTTCCCTTATTTTATTCTACTTTTTGAAAACTGAGTTTAGTGGCTTGTATTATTCTTTCAGTTATCTTAAGTATATATTAACTTTTTGCATTTTTAAAAAAAAAATCAAAAGAACTGCATCCTAACAAAATCTACCCATATTTTTAGCTGCCAATCAAATATAAATAATAGATACATAACAGTCAAGGGAGAGACAACAGGTCAGTGGTGCTTCCTCTACATCGCTGCCAAAATATATTTAGGTTTCCACTCAAAATATCATTTTGGAACTCATTGCCACAGGACAAGGACTGGAACTCACTGCCACTGGACAATGATGTAATTATTTTAAGAAATAAACTGTTACGTTCACGGATGGCTCTGCAATATTGCCAGTCATAATATGTGCCCTTAATTAATGCAGCACATTAGAGATTACTAGATAAAATAACAGCAACCTTCTTCCTAACCCACACAATTAAAATGAAAACAAGGCTACTTTCCAGATGTTTAACAAAGTTGCTTTATGACACAAGGACAGACCAGGCCTGAGCAGACAATTCCTGCCGGCCTCTTTGGAGAACTGAATGTTCCCCCATCCCCAGAGTCAGGCTTTCAGAACCAGTTTTATTACATAGGAAATAAATTGTTTTCAGACATTTCCTTCCAAGATACTTTCAAGGCCTGTATGTATGCAAATTGTACCCTGTTACAACTGACAGCCAGATTAAACCAGCGTCTGAGACTGAATGCAAGAAAACATTAAATTAAAACATATTTCACATCTCTGACTGATAAAACTTCAAGCATTAATGTGATGGCAAGCAGCTTAGAGGTATATTCTTCTCCTCCTCCCTGCTCCCCAGTTTATTTGTAGTCAGTGTATTCAAAAATTCAAAAGGGCGAGGCCATGAAGAGAAGTGAATTTGCAAAGCACATTTTGATTCTCCAGCACCATCACTCCTCGGCTAAGCGTTAGACAGCTGCTTGAAAGACTCTTGGAAGTTTCTTTGGAAGAGCAGATGCACTGGAGGTGGGAGAAGACAAGAGGCAGATGTGGGAGAATAGAAAGACGACAGGCGATGGGGCTGTTCACCAAATCCCAGCACAGAAGAACTCTGGAAGATTTCTCCCCTTGAATCTTGAGCCTGTTGGGCCTTGCTAACTGCTCAGTATCTGTAATGATCTGGTTTGAAGGGACCATCTTTGGATAATCCTAGGTACTTGGCCTGCTTATCGCTTAGCTTGGTCAGCTTCACACCAAGTTTATCCAGATGAGCAGCAGCAACCGCTTCATCCAGCTGAAAGAAAAAAGTGGAAAAGAGGGGTTACATTAACAGTGGAAGTTACAAATATAGGAAGCTACATCTTGATATGGCTGAAAGTATGTAGTCTTCTATATGCTGATGATGAGTAGCCCCAGCAGCTCCAGATGGTATGGCCGATGGTGAAAGTAGTTACGGAGTTGAAATTCAGCAATACGTGAACACTGGAAATGTGTGCAAATCATCATTTCATCTATCTCAGTAATGCTTCCACACAGATGGACAGCAACATGCTAGAGACCCAGGCTGGGCTCTTTTCCAGCCCTATTTGGAATATACTGTACCCAAGAAGCAAGTTAGTGATCATGAACCCTAGGAGGGTTCATGTAACCAGGATACTGAGCAGCACTACACAAGCCAAGAACTCATCTTCTAGGGCAGGTCTAGCATTCTGTTCTAATCATTATTGGAGCTGTAGTCTATCATCTGGAGGAAACCTGCTGGGGCAAGACTACACTGAAGTCTGTGTGAGCCACATTTGAAAAGCTTTTTATCTGGAAGGCAAAAGTGCCAGTAACATATGCATAGCAGAGCCCCTCCAACTTGTCACTGACATGATCTGTTTCAATGAAGGACTTCAATTTGCTGGAAATACTTTTTGTTCGTGCCAAGGGGCACTCACGGGGGGTGGGGGGGTGTCACATAAGTCAAGCAGGCACTTGTGCAATTCAAGATTTCTTCCTGTGGGATTCTTTCAGGAGTGATGCTACTGTTCCTACTGGGGAAGTATCCTGCCCTGATTTCAGCACTGCCAGCTGCAAGCCCCCTGCTGGTGAGGAACCTCAGAGCCTAAACCACTGAGGAACTGTAACAGTATGCGGGAATGACCTTGGGGACTGGGCCCAGAGATGCTGCCTAGGGAACAGTCAGATAAGAGACAGCTTAGTCCAGAGCTGGATATGGGCAGGGCAAAAGGCTCAGAAGAGACCCTCCCTAATTTCTCAAGGTGTAAAGGAGACAGGGGAAAATTGTACTTTCAGACTTGCAAGATTCTGTTAATGTAAACGTACAATAAAATAGAATCAGCTCATCTGGTTGTGTTTCCTGTCTGGATTGAGGAATTCACTTTGGGTGAATCTTTGGGTGAAAGAAGCTAGTTTTTAGAGGCCTCAGACAAATGGGATCACCTTAATAAAACTGAAACATAAAGGAATGCGCAGCATCCTTGAAGCTGGTGTAAACTGGGCTGATGGTAAACTCCTTATCACAAACATCCCCATAGCAATGTAAGGGAGGATGCCTTCTTCCTGGCAGTTGGCACCTTGAACCATTTGCTTCTTCCTCTCTGACACTATTGTTTTCCTCATAGATACCAGTTGTTCTGTCCTTGTAGATAGCAGACAAGAACAGGGGCAGAAAATAACTTGAGAAGTATTGCTCTTTTAGGTATGCCTGCATCATCATATGAATATGTATACGTATGCATTCTTTTCCCTTCCCCTTCTTGTAGAACTGTATAAATGTCAGGGCATCCATTTTGCCTATAGGGGAGTGCCTCCCGCTAACCTTTGGTAGGGTCCCCTCCAGTACGCACTGTCTAATAAATACTGCAATGAAGGCTTGATTATTTTGCATTTGTCTCCTGCGTTTTGATTCCACAGGTCCACCTGGTAAGGCCTTTCATTAAAGCCTCTCTGTCTAAAGCCACAAATCTGTAATTTTCATTTCATGAATATTTGTAGGTCTCCTCAGTTCCTCATCACAGACATGGCAGAGCAGCTGATTCATAACCAGATCATCTCATATCTGTTTTACTGCAACAGTCTGTTGGCTGGATTACCCAATACCTCTCTATATATACCTTGATCTGGACCCACAACAGTGCAGACTGCACTATTCTTATGTTGTCCGGATATTCATGAAAGGTACCAGTTTAAGTTGTATTAACTCATCAGGGTTTGCACACTGGCTATCATGGCCAGCTCAGACTTAGAAGAGTCTGACATGGAGAAAGCTGCTCAAGATGACCCAGATGAATGCCAACCTCAAGGGGAGCCTAGCAATCAGGTGGCCAGGCCTGGCATGGCTAATGAACATTCAAGTCAGCTGGAGGCAGCAGAAAGAGAGGCTGGATCCAGGACCTCTTGCCAGCTCTACAGCATACAGAACTGAGTGCACAGCAGAACAGAGGAAATCTGCATAGCTTCCCACAAGGGAAGGGCACCCCCTTCTTGATTGCCTGTACTTGGTGCAGGCTCCAGTTAAGAACCATCAGTGCCTGCTGGAACTCTGTACCTGAGAAAACTCTGCTTCTTGGAACCTGGACTGGCTGATGACCCACATTTGGACTCTTGGACTTCTGGACCATGACCTGACTATGCTTCGCTTTTTGCTTTGATCTCTGGCCATTTGGAACTCATCAGGCAAGCACTCCAAAGATTTGGGACTTAGTTGCTTTGTGCATGCGTTTGCACACAAGCCCTACCTGCTGCTGACTGAATTTGCTAAATCCTAAGAAAAGCTTCTTGCAAACTACCCCTGGGTGGATATGCACATCTGGCCTGGGAGAGAACACTAGTTATTTGGAAAACCTGCTGATGCCAGTAGATTGCTTTGCTGATTTTACCACATTAAAAAAAAAATAAATAAATCTCTATCTATCTCTGTATTCCATGCCTGGGCATCCTTTTTAAAGTTTCAATCCTCAGAACACTACAGTGCCCATGGCCAGTAATTAAATATTTTCACTGGAGTGGGCAGGAACTTTCCCCTTCCCCCCCCTTTTTTTTTGCTTTCCTTTTTTTAAGGAGAATTGGAGTGCTTTTAATGAAGGACAGCACAATATCAACATGCTCTGGGGCCACAAAAATTAGGCTGCAGGGTCGCATATAGCTCATAGGCTACTTACCCCAATATATAATCATAGCATCTTTGCTGAAAATTATATCAAAGCTGGTATGGGTCAATGGAAAATGAGCATGAATTAACTCAACTTTGTTGGGTTGATTTAAAACCTTTAGCCTTAATGGAAGAGTCTCTAATTTACTTGCCAGAGTTTGTCTATTCCATTATCACAGCCTTGCTCAGGAAAGTTTTAGAATTTGCTTCCATCTAGCTTTCTACCCAGTGAGTCACAGGTTTATCTTATTTACCAATGGAAAATCTTTTCAGAATCCGACTGAATTTCAGAGATGATAGAGCCTACACCAAGGGTCCAACAGTTACAATCTTTTTGAATTTGTACTCTTTTTGGGGGGGGGGGGGATTAAATCCATATGACTTTTTAAAAAAAGAGTTTATGACATCTCTTAAACTCCATCTCATTCTAGAAAAAAGAATTCACTTGTAGTTTTCATAATTAAGGAGAAAACTAATGGAACT